AGTTCTTATTATTTCTTAGAAGATAAGGCTAGTCATAACAAGATGTAACTGCAGTAAGATAATAAAATTGCACACACTGTGAAATTATATCGGTTAGTGCGCGGGCGCAAACTTGCAGTGAGCAACAAAACTTGATTCGAAATCGACGCGCCCAATGTCAGACGGCACAAGGTCGCCTCTCACGATAAACGCCTCTGCAAACCGTTTAGATTCAACAAAGCCTGTAAATCTGAGATCTTGATAGCTTCACAACTGTTCCTGTACTTATTTGGCTTAAAACTACACATAGTAATATCTATTGTTCTGTAATTCGTTTTTAAGTACTGACATTTAGGATAAGCTTTTGCGTCGGCGGGCGTAACGTTTGAACTGATAGTCGATCGATACATGAGTCAGACAAACTAATGGATTCGAATAAAGTTCTGATGTTAACGTTCGCATCGGTTGATTCAATTTAAATGGCAAAACTGGATGTGTAGAGCTAACTGTTAATTCCTAGCCATCGTCGCCTATAGCCGCACCTGTATTTATCAGTAGGGTGGCTATCGAAGCGTTGCTCGCTTTATAAGGGACGACCTTTTTATGCAGCCATGTTCCTACGAACACGTTTCATATGCAGGATGTTTTAGCTGAGTTCTAAACGGACAACAACCTTTAACGAACTTAATAAATATGAAATAACTTGACATATTTGATATGGTGGCTGTGAATAATCCATCACGTATGGCGATGGCTTATCGCGATTCAAACGACAGAGCCTTGCTTCCACGTGCCAGTTAGTACCACGGGTATTGCATAAACGTGTTACAAGTCGTTAAGTGCATAGTAATAATTTATGAAATGCTACTAATCGATTTAGTAACACTTTCTCTTGGTTAAAACTTCATAGGTTGTTTAACCCTTCCGTGATAGTTTGTCATTAAGTTTAGATTAGTATCTCCGTCACAGATTTTTTAGATCATAAAGTTAATTAGTGATCACGGCAAAATCTATTTGGCAGACAGTATGAAATTGGTTTTGCGTTGAAAAAGTCTTTGCGAGTGAAACTTACTGTTCGTGTTATGCTCTCGATTTTAACGTCACGATGACGGAAAGACCGCGCTGGTTCAGAAAGCACGGGTTAATTGAGCACACAAAAACCATTTGGGGACCAAGGACGCAGTTATCGTAGTAGAATACAATGCCATGACTAACTGCGGTTCAAAACGATTCGGAAGTCTCTTAGGTATATAACATTGACTTCAGCTTGGCTAAACGATTTATTGAATTATTATTTTCTGATCAGGTTTTTGTCTCGTGCAACTGCTACTGCAGTTTGGGTCCTTACTAATGTATTTTAAACTCGTTCACCGGAAATTATTTATTTTGTCGTGGCGCCCACCTGCCATACAAAAGGAACGATGAAAGAAGTCGATGACGTTGCAGCATATGATAAAGCGAGATTTAATCTTTATTTTGTTTTTGCCGAAACCTATACAAAAACTTTAATATGATGTTTGGCAGGCACCGCTGACGCCAGTATATTTAAAGTTTAGATTATTAGGCGACCACGATTGTTACGGGTACCTAAACAATTTATTTTATTTATGCGCCAAGAACCTTTTCTCAATTCATAATGAAGTTGCAGCACGTGGCTTACGATTCGAATTACTCAATAATATTCTTAAAGGTAAAACGTGAGTCCAATCACATATACATCGTACTTAAGTACCTAATAGACGAGGATCGATAGAAATCAATATTTATCAAATTTTATATAACGAGTGAATCATTTCTGTTAGTATTCGTTTTAGACGTAATTCAGATATCTAATCTAAATATTATTCACAAAGATATCTCCGAATTAGTGAAAGAATTCATACAAAAAAGCATTGTATCGTTTTAAAGAGAACACGCTATAAAAGTTTTAAGAAATTAACCAGATACACTATCGGCATATACAGTAGGATGTCTGTAAGATACAGATAAGAAGACATTATTACGAAATTTCTACTTCTTACTTATGATTACAACAAGCTTCATGTTATGAATAATAAACAAGTTCTTAATCTGTGAATAACTAACTTCTGGATATTCAATTATTTATTACACTTGTTTGTCAATTGGTTCGTTAAAGGCATATAAAAGTTATACTAAAACGATTGCAACGAGTTACAGCCCATAATCCATTACAAACTAAACAGATAAACGTCCCAATAAAACAATTTTCTTATAACCATAAAACTTACGGAACTATTGGCCTATGTTACGATAGAAATTGACGAAAAATAAAACATAAGTAGAAGGTACCTCTAGGGGGAAGATTGAATTTCTGATGGAGTGAAATATATTATTTACCCAGCCTCGTAAATCACATTTATGGAAGAAAATCTTAAGCCATTGTTTTATGTGTTCTATACTAAGAGAGCATGCCCATAAAATCTTTTTACGACATCATAGGATATAACAGGAGATCCTTTTTGGGAGACCACTGCTTCGGAACATAATAAGCTACATTTTGGATATCTATAATTTTGTGACCTATCATCATCAGTAGTAGCCGGAAGACTAAGTGCTAAACAATAGTGTTACACTTTTCGGAGATTTGGTATAATCACCACCGTTTTGTCGAGGTGGCTATGGGGATGCAGTCCGAAGTGGCAGGGCACCGTTTAGGACATCCCCAGGTCCAAGCAAAAAGCTATGCCTCTATATCTTCATATCTCACAGCTGTATGGCGTTTGTGTGTAAGAAACGTGTGGTTAGGTTAAAGAAGTCGAAAACGTGTGTAAGTCTGAGAGCGATAAATTGCACCTGACACGTCTAGCACGAACTACCGATACATTCGGATACATCTAGTGGCAACTCACGACAACAATTATTCACAATGAAAATTGTATTCTTATTTCGCAAAGACCATAATCTGATGAAATTTTGAGGCAACTGCCTTGTCGAGGCTAAAATTTTAGGTAGATGGAGTTCATGTGGAAGTCCTGAGTTAATAAAATATTGAAACATTTGTACGAAGTTAAATAGGTCCATTAATAATTTATTAGGACGTCACAAGTTACGACACACTAGACAAATGTCGATGGCTGGTAATTATTTTCTGTGTCTCACAGTACATTGTAAGGAATTTTCCGTTTTTGGAATGATTTACATAGAACATTTTTGTTCAACAAGACAGCGCAACCGAATCACGAAATCAACCTTCAGTTACAAAGACAAAAAATAAAATGTACTGTAATTTACCTTAATTCTCTGTTGCCTTGAAACGTAATGCGTGTTGTTAAGTAAGTCTAATCTATCAAACCGCTAATGTCCACCGTTTCGCAGGCCTAAATTTTGTTTTGGAAAACGTTAACTGTCCCCTAACCTACATTTCAACAATAAGAAGTGACTTATGCAATCAAACACAATACTGCATTTTGTATAAGTAAGGTAATTACTGTTAAAAGAAAACGGTGTGTAAAATGACTTCAACGTTCTTACGTCTTTCCGGTCTGTTGCCAAATAGATGTTGATGCTCCAAAAACTATTGAATACTATCGTTTGATGCTTACAATTCAAGTATTTGCACAATTTAATATGCATTATGTATGACACATCATTCAAGAGGATTTTTTTTAAGTCCCATCTTTCACATATCGTACTAAACAAGTTGCTCTTGGGAGTCAAAAGGTCATTCGCAATTCGTGTTGATTTCTATTTATTTAAGGATTTAACTATATGACCCTTGACTCACATTTATCTACATATATTTACTTATTTAGATGTTTGGGCATGAATTTAAAGAAAAATGAAAACGTCTGAAACACTGTATATTGAGATTTACAGTTATGATTATAGGTAGCAATTTTCCACAGAAATATTTTTTCATTTAACTACCGGGTGTGGCTTGCGGGCTAACCGCTACTCACGAAATTGAAATTGGAAAAATAAGTTGGTTGGTAAGTAATACAACGGGGACTTCAAGACCACGTGGGTGGTGAATGTTAAACCTAAAAAAATACATCTGATGTGATGAGATCTAGTATTGATTTATACATTTTATAAGCAATCGGAATGCAGGTGGTTAACCTTTCGAAATATATGGTTATGTGTGCCGACCTGTCAAGGATAATAAGTTTATCCAAAGTTCACGTACGATCAGACCATTTGTATAATGCGAATATAGACTGATTCATTAAAATTAAGTTTAACTTCAACCTCATTAGTATGTTTCTTCTAAAACCCTATTTCCTTGCTTTGATAATTAGGATTTAGATATTTTTGATAGGATTAATCTGAACTAAGATTTATGCGAATAGCAAATAGTTTGTGTGACAAAATTACGTGCATTTTGGTGGACAGAAGTATTAGAACAACTTTCTGTTAATTGCTACGTACAGATTAATCGCATCAATTACTGGAGAATTTCAAATCTATTGTTTTCACGATTTTGTTGAATACTATGGCGGTTATTCCGTTAAAAAACCACTTAAAGCGTGTACACACAGCAGACAATAATTACGAAAACTACTTTCTAGTGTGAGTCATGGTAACACTGCCAATGACTAAATAACGCCTTGTTACAACTTTTTGTGTAAAATAAGTATTCAAATGTTCTGAGCATTTCACTGGTAAAAGTATTGTAAACAAAATGAAGGCAAAACAAACTTGAATCATTATCGATGAGACATTTACTCTAACTGGCTTATCGTTTTCTACGATAACATTTGGTCTAAATATAGTTCAGTTTACTTAACGCTTACCATTTTATAAACAAGATAATCACTCCACTTGTCAATTCTGCTCGAAAACACGAAATCAAGTTTAACACCCGTACGCATTATCAATCCAATGGCTTAACTGTTAAACCCTTCACAATTTACCTTGGAAACTTGTCCATAAATTGTTGAATATGCACGAACAAACGCTGTAGTATTTGACAAGTAATTATTCAAAGTTAGAAAATCAATGTTTGTCGGTAAACGGGTAGATATATAAAGTAAACGCTTGTATAAATAAAGAAAGCGAACCTGTGGTGCGAGTACCGGGGCTGTCTCTGTAGCCGCCGTTTTGCCGGAGTCTGCGTACACTAGACACAAGCACGCGGGTCAGCATGACGCCCGCTCTTGACTACCACCTTCCCAATATAGGCACAATTCTCCATCAGTCACTTGCTCCTCAATAGAATTATTGATACCGCGAGCTGTAACTCAACACTGGAGACACACGAGAGGGGCCCGGCGATTCACTGGGCCGTATCCAACACACGCACTCACAATAATATAATTGTTACCGCACCCTGATTTCAGTCACTACACTCTGGGTGACAAGTCGGCAAATCATATGTTTTGAAAACAATAGTGGCCGTTTCGAACGAATCGAAATCTGAAGTTTCCAGTTTAACAAACTTTATTCGAATAACGTTTTTATCGATTAATATACATATCACTAAAGGCACTATAAGATAATTGGAATGGACTGTTATTACTGCAATCGTAACAGATCACGTCGTCAATTATTCGATTTGCTCGGGTTCGGTTACGGGTTCAGGCTAACGTCTCTACGTGACAGTCCGTATCTCTTCAAAGCTTTTACCGTACTGGCTAGAAGGCAGTAGTGTGAGCTTGGAAAAAAAGAGAAAGAACGATTATGACGTACCAGAGTCACAAGTCCATAACCGGTCACGTTGTGTCTGCGAAATTATTCCTTACCGCGTTCAAATAAGGTGGATATTTGCAGTAGCGATGGTCTCAGCTGTGTCAGTTTCCTCGAATGTTGCGTGTGGAAATTCGAGACGGATTGAGCAGCACAGTCATTGAGTGTAAAAGAGATAAAAGCAAATATCGAATGCTAACGACGTTTGCCGATTGGAGTCCGACCGCCAAGGCCGACTCACGTCACGTTTCGCGAGACTAGACATGCCGCCTATGTACTACAGGTATGTATGCACGATTGTAGTTTATTGCACTTTGTTTGACTAAATGAAAACTTACTCCAACAAATCCTCGAGGTTTGTTGTCTCATTAGAAGTAGCTTAGTAAATGAGGGTTGTTACTTAGGTACCATTATATTAAATTTGTTTGTTGATTTTAATGAAAGTGTATATCATTGACTGATAATGTATTATTTACATTGTGATTAATTTTGATAAGATAGTTCTTAAGAATTTGTTGATTACTAATAGTCATGTGTAGGCGATCGTTTAACAGCTGACGACAATAATGTCTCATAGAAATAAATTGACGTCAATGAAGTACAAATAGCACTGATATTGTTGTTATAAACAATGAACGTAGGTAAGTTAAGACGAATATTAAAAAACATAGAGAATATGTAGAGAATACTTTTATTGTTTCCTTGGTATATTAATGAATGCTGTCTCTGCTTGAAAGTGGTGGAAGATTCAACCTCATCGCTAGGACTGAAAAAATATTAGTAACATAACATAACATCACGCCTTTTATCCCCGAAGGGGTAGGCAGAGGTGCACATTATACCACTGTACAACGTAACACCCACTTTTCACTATTTATGTTATGAGTCCCATATAAAGACTCCGTACTACTACTGAGAATTTTTTAAAAACCCAGTAATACTTTGTCCGTCCCGGAAATCGAACCCGAGACCCCCTGCCCGACAGTCGCACTTGCGACCACTCGGCCAGCGAGGCAGTCTCAGTCAAAAAATATTAGTAAATACCTATAATACCCACGTAATTCACATCGATGATAATATGATTTTATCAAATGCCATAACCGATTCAGAATATCTTCTATATAGGTATGAACTATGAAGTAATAAGTATGGAAGTCAGATAATACGGATCTGATTGAGCCAGGTGTTCGTTTCGTTGTAGCATTACTTTCCCAATAAAACGAAACAATAAAGATTTCGATAAAAAAATCGAGTACATTATTTTAAAGATTGTTGTCCTGAAGTAACTGTAGCTAAAAATATCAAAATGTGTCGTTAAGAATATTTATTGTCATTTTAATTAAAAAGACATATTGTATAATCTGATATGATCATATCCTGCTTCCAACCGAATCGATTACGTTACATCAGAATAATCAAATACGTATCATAATTAAATAATTTTAATATGTAGGTACCTACACAAATTCCCCGTAAAGGAGAGTTGCGTCAACTTGCGTCGCTACGAGAATGGACGCGGATATGTACGAAAACACATAAAACATCAAAGTTTTCTCCGTTAACATCCGTTTGCACTGAAGCGTGGTTACATAGATATGCGAATAATCCACAATACTAACAATGTTATGAATTTGATCTGGACGGTACATTTCTCTTTAATGCTATCCGTTTATGGATTTAACCGAAGATTAAACAAGAAAGTCGATGAAACTGATCATCAATACGTAGTATAAAACAAAGTCGCTTTCGCTGTATGTCCGTATGTATGCTTAGATCTTTAAAACTACGCAACGGATTTTGATGCGGTTTTTTTTAATAGATAGAGTGATTCTTAAGGAAGGTTTTTATGTATAATACATGCATATTGCACCCGTGCGAAGCCGGGGCGGGTCACTAGTTTTTTTTTTTTTTTTTTTTATAAAAAACGAGTTGAAGTTAAGTATCCAAACGATTCACGGAATCACGGTAGATAATGAAAAGTTAAGTCTTAGAAAAAAGTTGTTCCCATTAGTAAAGATCTCGTTGTTAAATTAAATTTAACTCAGGAAGAGGATATTCAAAACTGTATAAAAGATAATAACACTGAAAACCAAACCAGTTTCTTCAAATGTAAATAGTATAGTTGTATTTGTAACTTTCGTGAGACATACTAAATAAATTATTATGTTTTCGGCTTACTCACGTAGTAATTTGACGAGGAACTCGACTAGTTTCAAGCCATGCTAGAGGCTCATATTCATGAGCAGCATTTCGCGACCCGCGACGCGGCGACTGTCGCGCTGCTACTGGCAGTGGAGTAGCAGCAAATTACTACGTGAGTAAACCGAAAACATAATAATTTAATGTAAATAGTAAATCAAACACGCTGTGAATGAAACTTGTAGTTAGTAACTAAGTTTAGCCTCTGCATTAATGTCCGGAGACAAGTTCCGGCTGGATTAAATATTGACGCAAGATTAACCAGCAAGCGACCAGCATTTATGTTCACCTTGTTCTCATTCTTGGATTAGATAAATGACAACTTCACAACAACATTAAATCTCTTCAAATAAAAAAAAACCATACAAAACCGGACTGCTTCTTCAAACAAATTGCTGCTAGATTTGCAGATTTTATCTATGCGCGTTGTGCAATATGAAAAAAAAAACAGAGGCCATACAATGCATTGTAGAGGTATTCTAACTGGACCAATCGGCTTATCCACATAGTCATGACGTCAGTAAGTTAAAAGATCATATTTTATTTGTCATTTTCATTAAATAAAGTTCGACGGCAATCACTAGGTACATAACGTGTAGGCGGCGCTTAAAGAGCTGCCTTAGCAGACGTCTTTTCCATAAGTTGCAAAACTGGAGGGTATGAATTCATGGCAAGTATTCTGAGTAAACCAGTTACATTTATATAGTTTAAATAAAGGTTTATGACCCGAGACTCTTTGTCGTCGACCAAAAATGGGCTGTTGCCGTAACTCCTCAGAAGGTCTGACGACATTAAAATCTATGTGGGTATTTAAAAATGTTTTCGTTTAAGTCTTTTATTGATGAGTAATTAAGCGAAATTGGAAATCATGTAATCAAACCTTTGTGGAGAATTTAATATGTACGCCTGACTGTATCAATTTTCCGCCCACTAACCGAACTTTATTAAGTTCTACGGGGTAATAAACTCTTTACAAGTTGATGTAGATGCTATAGCAATAACTTCTCACTTATGTAGCGATATAAAAAATAGAATTAGCTTTTTAATATAACATAACATCAAGCCTTTTATCCCCGAAGGGGTAGGCAAAGGTGCATATTACGTCACTTAATGCCACTATACAATGTACCACCCACTTTTCACTATTTATGTTATGAGTCCCATGTAATAGGGGTGAGCCTATTGCCATATACCGGGCACATTTTCAGACTCCGTGCTACTACTGAGATTTTTTTTAAAAATCCAGTAATACTTTGCCCGACCGGGTATTCGAACCCGACACCCCTTGCCCGGCCACATTTGCGACCAATCGGCCAACGAGGAAGTCACTTAGCTTTTTATTTTGGATTAAAAAGGTCTGAATACTGAAAGAGATATAATACTTATTCTAATTGATGCATGTAACATCAAATATGGCTCCACTACGGGTTATTTTTTCATTTTTTTATGGAATGGGAAGTAAAAGAGCCGACCGATCACCTGATGGTAAGCGATCAGTGCCGGCCATAGACACCCGCAACACCAGAGGACTCACAGGTGTGTTGCCGGCACTTTAATAAGGAATACGCTCTTTTTTTTGAAGGTTTGAAGGTCGTATCAGTTCGGAAATACCGCCGGACAGAGGAGGATAGATCATTCCACAGTTTTGCTGTGCGAAGCAGAAAGCTACGTGAGAAGCGCACAATTGTGGCCTGCCAACCATCTTTTATCTAAGTGGTGATGTAACTGACGTTAGAACGTATGAAAAGTGCAAAGATATCTATCGTTCTAACATATGAAGTGAACCTATAAGTTTATATTAGCTTGTAGGAGTGCAAGATTAACTACTTTCTTTTTACATCCCGAGGCAGAGGTGACTCGTCCAGTTTGTTAACATTAATGTAAATGTCATTGAATGCCGTCCAACCGGTTGAGATGAATTTTTTTAATCGACAACTGCCTCTGGTGTTATTTTGAAAGCTGCGAATTACCTTTAGCGATCCTTGTAGTCTACACGCCTTACCTATTAAAGCTTCTATAACGACCTTTTGGACATCCATTGTACAAAGAATTTATTAACGAACGTTATTAGCTGGGGATAATTCCATCTATACGTATAATGGGGTGATCAGCAAAATTACTTTTAGAGCTACATGAATAGCTACATAACAGGTGTTGTTCTTATAGTTACCAGAACTCCCATAAAAGTATCAAGCACGCCTTTTTATTATCGTGTTAACGTACGAGTATAAATGACTACTTATCCATTATACTAGCTCATTTACATTAGTCTGTTTAACACAATAGCCTCTTTTACTCGGATCCACTCGAATAATTAAGATGAATATTAATGAAGTTGACTTGCAAATGGAGAGTAAGATTTGAAATTCATATCTATAACTCGGTGTATGATTTTCTTATTTCAATAAACACTCTCACAAATACCGCTCTTAAATTCGTGGTTGCATTGTGAATAGTACAAGTTATTACTTCCAATAAAGATAAAACCAAGAGTGCGTGAATATTCGCAAAGCAGTTTTTGTAAAATCGTTTAAAAGCCAACTAATGGACACTTGAGCGGCCTCGACTCAATTGAAATCCAATCAAACCGTAACGTATCACGAGACGGACGTTTGCTACGATGTTTAAAGTGCGCACAGCACTATTACCACAGCGGTGGAAGCAATGAGTTGAATTGACAATGTTGAACACAATTGACAGGCAGCCAGTGACCTGACGGTTAACGATGTGCACTGCGCACGAACACTCTTTATTTGTAATGCAAAACTGCAAACATCCTATCGTCACGACAACAGCGCAGCGCAACACACATCACAATACAAATAACGCTAATTCATATCATAATAACATTACTATCCCATATTTATCCATGACGCCATACGACTCCTGGCCCTGGGTAATTTAATACTTCTTTTTTCTTTTAGATTGGTCTAGCTAGGAAGTAAGACACATAAGGTCACGATGACTCAATACTTGGCTTTTTGTTACGGTTCCAAATTACAATGGAGTTCCTGTGCGTTCTCATAATACATGTTTGATGTTA